TAGTGGGTGAGTTAAATATTGACAAATAAATTATTCTTATTATTTTGATTTTTACAAGGTAGATGGGCCCCTTTGCCAAAAAATAAAATATGTATTTAATAATTATATTACGCCCTTGTTAACTTTGGATAATTGGTTGTGACGACTTTTTCTTATGACTGGCCACAAATTTATTGTTGAAATTGTAACCTGCTCCTTTATTGTATGATTATAAAATAAGAATCGCAATAGGTGTACAATTATGGACGACAACTTTATTTACGGAATATCACGAGACATGCTATTGCTGTCATTTGACAGTTTCAACATTTTTTTTTTATTTTTTTGCATTCAATATTTTTTTGTAAACACACCAATTGTCAAGTAAGTTGTCATCCATGATTGTACAAATAACATTATTGGTAAACTAACTCGTAAGAGCATCTCCAACAGACTCTTTAAACATGAGATGCTCTCTATTTTAAAGAGTCAACATGTAAAATCATGCTCCAATAGACTCTTTAAATTAAGATTTTAATTTAGAGAGTGGGTTTGGCTCTCCAAATTTGGAGAGCCAAACTCACTCTCTATAATTAAATGCATTCAAAAAGTTTCAATTTTCAATGTAGAAAAGCAATAAAATAATCTATAGAAAAACTAGTTAAAATAAAAGATAAAGAAAAATAATAAATATTTTTTGGGAATAGTAAATTTAAGTGTTAAATATAAAGAGTTTGTTGGAGTACATCAAAATTTTAACTCTTTAAATTTATAGATGCTCTCCAAATGATAGAATATGCTCTTTAAAAATAGAGAGTCTCTTGGAGATGCTCTAACATTTTCCTTTTATATTTTGCCATGGACAATTTTTCCACGAATAGGGGAGGGTAATAGGGCAAGCTTTCTTGATGGGGCAGGGAACCCATCCCGTTTAGGAGCATGGCAGTGCGACTGCGTGGCGGGAGCGGGAAAATTTCATCACCCTATGTCACATACATATCAGGCAATACCATTTACATAAATAAACGTACGCTAGAATTTACCCTATAGTATCTCTAGTGTAGACAAGATTTAGTCCCTGTTTGGTTTGGATTAAAATTTGAAATCAAAGTCAACAATTAATTTTAACCACACATTTAATGGGATCCACAACTTTTCAACCATACATTTCATCAACTTTTGTCAAAATCTACTAAAAACCTAATTTTAATCTCTATGAAACAGGGGTTTAAATTTAGAGTCCAGTATTCTGATCTTATATTGAGCTATTTCATTCAAAATTTTAAACTTTTAAAAAATGTAATTTATTTTATGTATTTTTTATTTTCAACCCACAAGAGATAATATTTTTGTTAAAACTGCGATAAGTGAACAATTTTTGGGGCAGCCGACCATGACACTATTTGGAAATTTATAAGGAAGTTTCCTCCTGTGACCTTATTCGAAGAAGTCACATAATTTCCTTATTCCAAGTCCACGTTATGGGCATGTCTTCTACGCACCAAGTCACGGATATGTACACATATTCGAAAGGTGGAATTTTTGGAAATTTGATATTTCTGTCATTCCAATTTTGGAACGAAGCCTGGGCCGGCCCTAGACCAAATCCAACTAGGCAATGGCCTAGAGCCTCAACTTTTAAGGGGCCTCAAAATAAACCCAAGTCTGTAAAATTTTTTCCTCCAAAAAGTAGTGTTGAAAGAGGCAAAGAATCTCTAATGCATTATTAATTATTCTGCAAAAATAGTTCTGAAAAAGGCAAAGAATGATGCCTTGTGAACTACCTTCTCACTAATCTTATCATTCATAGCCAACTGAATTATTCAGAATTCAGATTACAAATTAATGAAAACTGAGATCAAAGAACAAAAGGATGGACTGTGCATTCATGAAGACTGAAAGTTTGTAACCATTTTTAGTGAGTTACATGAATTTTAAATTTAGTCTTAAATCTTGACTTTGGACATTTACACTAATGGAAATGGAAAGAAGAGCGATCAGATTAGTATAGATGATTCAAAACCTAAGAACTAAGCAATCATTTTTTGCCATGTAGTGTCATTATGTTACATTATTAATATAGATAAATTTATAGTGTATTTAGTAAATTTTGCTTGAAGGGGAACTTCTTGGTATGTGATATAGGGGCAACTTTGTCTGAAAAGTTGTTATGTTATTTAAATTTCAAATATTGCTTTGCACCAAGAAAAAAAAAAAAAACCGTTAAAGGAGTCTTAGTCATGCGTCGTCTAAGGCCTCATAATTATTAGGGCTGCCCTAGATGAAGCTAGAAAATGACATCAATCTAGACAAGTCGAGCTTCTAACATATTCCATAAATGCCAAATTTAAGATTTGTGGTTAAATTTGATGCCATAATTACATTTTTTGGACCCATTTGAGCAGCTTTTTTTGTCTATCAATGTGAACTTTTACACTATTCAAACTGAGTAAAGCAACTTTACTCGAAAATGGTTGACACCTAAGGTGACCGATCCTCACATTGCGCGTGAATCCCACGTGAATAAAATAATGCACGACCCTCGAGGTGTGTGTTTGGTCATCCCCCATGTCATCCTCTATGTTCATGTAGCATAGTTCATTCAAAATTCATGTTAAAGCTAAAAGAGTAAGTTGAAAGGACCCTAGTGATGGTAATGGGCCCAGGTACTAACAAATCGAGCTTGGCTCGTGCTCAAGGTTCGGCTCACGAGCTCAAGTTTCTTTTTTTCATTTTTTAAATTCTTTTTAAGCTACCAAACAATGTTTGATCACTCTTTTTACGAGTTCACGAGCCAAGCTCGAGAGAACGTGAACTTTAAGCTCATGTGTTGTGTTCACGAGCAGTTCGCGAGCTCGACGAGTCCTCTCTCGGCTCGACCTGAAACAAGTCTGAGCCGTCCAAGAGCCGAGTTTCGACGAGCCTAGCTGAGTCAAGCCGAGCAGCTATTCAACCCTTTTGCAATCTCTAAAAGACCCGTTACATAATTCAACATAAAAAATTGAGTAATACTATTTAGCTCTATTGCGATTGCAACCCCAATTTAAGTGATGTTGATATGACATTAAATGACAAGTGAAATTAAATAACTTATTTAATTTCACATTTCATTTAACCTATCATCTAATGTCAACTAAATTGGGATTGCAACCGCTGTGAAATTATATAGCATTATTCTAAAAGGTTAGTCATGACAAATTAGTGACTTGGTTAATCAACTTTCATATAATGTATCCACTGTTTTAAAAAGTTTAAGCGTGATTAGACGTGGCTTTACAAGGTTAGGCTTAAATTTTTTTTTTTTAATAAGAAAATTATTTTCAAAAAATTAAAATAATACATACTAAACATTTAAAATTATAAAATACTATATTTACTCAATAATTCTTAAAATTATTCAATTATACAATTTTCAAAAGAAGACTTGCAAATAAAATCAAATAAATGGCTTTTAAGAGAAGGGGAAAAAAAAAATAATAATAATAAAACTTGCCTAGATGCACATTAAGCGGCAACTTGACATTTGATCGCTTAATTCGTGCTCACTTCCACGTCTAGGCATTTCGCCTATGCCTCGCATTTCGATGACGTTTAGGCGTCGCTTAAGCACTAATTGTATCTAGTAACTTTTTGGTGCTGGTGGCGATAAAAGCTAGTCTAAATTTGAGAATTTACAAGTTCCAAAATTATTAATTTTTTTTTTTTGGTATTTACGGTACAATGGGTAATGTCCAAATTGTCACAAAATCCCCCCTTCGAAGTATCCTGATCTTCGATGAACTGATAAAAAAACGAAGAAAAAAGAAAAAAGAAAAAAGGAGACCACGTTAAAGTGGCCAAGTATACAAAGGTTTCGATGTATTAGGAAAGAGTAATGTCATTTATCATTGTGATGATAGAAAATTGGTGATGTAATGATTCATTATCCTTCACATTTATCTCTCTTTCCTCGCCCTCTCTTATAAAAATTGAACCGACCAATTCCATATAAACTGTTACATATTTTAGCATTATAATGATAAATAACATTATTCATCAATAAAAGAAAAAAAGAGAGAAGGAATAATCATAAGAGGCTATTCGTTTTTATACCATTTAGTATTACAGGTGGGAATTTATTTACAAAAAGGCACAATGCTCTTATCGTTTGTAACCCCAAAATTTAATGCTATATATGTCAGTTCCCAAAGTTTATGAACCTTGCCACTTAAACAAGGCACATGTGGCCCTGTTCAAGCAGAGTTTAATTCAAAGTTTATTCTCGAGTTTTGCATAATGTGCGCGCAGTGGGGATTGACCCAAATTCCATGTCCAAATCACAATTTGCCGAGCTTTGGGCCTTTCAAACTCTTGAGTCTCGACCCAATTTTCACTTGGCATGTATGATTAGAACATCTCCAAATAGAAATTTAGATCTTCTCAAAAACCTCCTAAAGATGCAAAAAAGATACAACGTAAAAAATTATGTAAATTAACATGTTTTTTACATTTCCAAGAGACCAAATATGAATTTAGACCTTCTCAGTGGAACAGAATTTGAATTTCAAATCCACCAAAATATAAATAAAAATGCAAAAATGACTTTGAAAATATAAATTTACACCCAATTTTTACATTTATGCTCTAACCTCGATCTTTTTTCCTTCGAAAAATGAAATGCCTTGACATACAAATTGTGTTCGACAAATGACGATTATATAAATGTTAATAACCACCTTTTTCTCAACTGTTTAATGTGACATAACGACTGTCAAAAAAATAAAAATTATTACATAACGTTCATCTCAAGTAAATTATATTACTCACTCGTCTGTGACACAAAAAAATTGCAGAAATTCAATAAATTCAAATAAAGATCAAAATCAAGATTCCAATAAAACCCAGATTTAAATGAGAGAACGTAATCTCACCGCTAAATTAAGATAAAACACAAAGTCCATTAAGATTACAAGCTTTGAGACCGAAATTAAGGCACCAAAATACTCTTATGATTGATTCTCAACACCACCTACAGTCACTAATCACTCAATCTTGACATGGAAAACATCAGACCTCTCCTCTTGTTTGATTTTGGGTATGAAAACTTTTAGAACCCCATTCTTCATCTCTGCTTTGATCTCATCAGTCTTGTACAGTTTCTCCGGAAGATCAATTCTGCTACTGTACCTTCTCCCACTCTCTTCGTCCTCGAATTCCTTCTTCTCCTCGCCTTTGATGATTAGAGTATTTTGTTCCACGGACACCTTGACTTCCTCCTTGCCTAGTCCAGGCATGTCCATTCGGAGATGGAGGCCGTCCTCAGTTTCCCGAGCGTCCCAACTTCTGGGAATCCCCGAGGCAACAGGGGAATCCACGAATTGGTCCATCATGTTCAGGATTTGGCTTAGGCTCCTTGACGAAAATGGATCGAACACCTCTGCATTTCACAAAACTAATGAGCTTAGTAGGCAAGAAAACAATGCTTCCTTAATCGATTTCACAAAAGTTGAATACTAAGGACCATATACGATTACCTGCTAGTTAGGATACATTTCACAATTGAATTTGTAAATCGATTAAGCCTACAAAAATTCCCTGTACTGATTTACCAAAATACCAATACTGTAAAAAAAGAGAAAACTAATAAACGAGAAACACGAAATAACGAACACGTAGAGAAGTAATTACCTAAACAGAGATTTTACAGAAATCAATTTACAAAAGCACTGCAATTATAATTATACATTTTGGTTGTGTTGATGAGCTTGTGTAGCAGACAAAAAGTAGTGAGTGGAGGGAGCTAGAAGACGACTACCTGAGAACGGGGAGAAGACACGTCTATCGGATCGGCGATCAATGTCGAGATCACGACCATCGCCATCGTACTGGCGCATAGCATTGGTGTTAAATAAGCGTGAGGTGCACGGCTGAGCCACCGTACGGACAGGGCAGAGGGACCGGGAGAGCAATTTCGAAGACAACAGCCTTTTCATTGCGAGTGAAGACGCCATAGCTTCAATGATTGTTATCAAAAGCTTGTGAAATAACGGAATAACGAAAGAGCTTAATGGAAACTTGTGCACGGTGGCTCCCGTACTACAATGGTGAATTTATAGCGACGGGATGTTTTGTGTAGAATTTACGAGAGACATTCAAGAAAGTTCTGGAGATGTTCTAATTTTAGCACCGACTTCTCAGATTGGGCCTTGGCGCATTGGGCCTAAAGCACTTTACTTGGGAAAGTTTTCGTAAATGACAATAATTAGCCATCCAATTAAAATAAGGAAATTACAAAAAAATCAGGTGTTTAAAGCACGATTTTCAAAAATCGGGTTTAAAGTTTAATTATTTAAAAATTAGATAATAAATTTATATTTTAATTAATATAATAATTTATTAAACATAATATTATTAACCCTGGTTTTATCAATTCCTCCCTCTCGTCTCATCCCTTGTTCCCCTCTCCCTCGTCTCTCTCCTTGTGAATGGCATCGCGCGGCAGTGTCTCACTGTCGTTCACAGGGTCGCGACGCTGCACTTCACAGCAGCGTCGCGATGGGTGGTAGGTGTGTGTGCAGTGGCGAAGGGAAGTTGTAGTGATGGTGTTGTGTCGAGGTGTCGAGGTGGTGTTGATGCTGGTTGTAGTGGATTCAAATCTGGTTGGTGGTGGTAGTGATAGTGTGTGGTTGGATGCGGTGGTGGTGGGTGTGTGTGCCGTGGGTGCGGTGGTATTGGAGACGTGGTGGCGACACTATCAGTGTGTGGTGTTTGACTAGTTGTGGAGTAGATGTGGTGGGTTGGTAGGTTTAGATCTGGTTTAATGGTGGTGGTGATAGTGGTGAGGTGGTGATGTTGCGGTCGTGTTGTGTTATTATTATTGGCGGTGGTGGTTGTGGCAGAGGTGACAAGATGAAGAGTGTTTGTGACAATTATTTGGTTGATTTGTGACCAAGTATTGGTGGTGAATCGAGATCGAGTGTTGATTTTTTGGTGTATATGACCAACTATTTGGTTCTTTGTGACTAACCGTTAAACCGTGACCTTAAAATTTGATAATTTGTGATCAAAAATTTGAAAATATGTGACCGATAGATAAACTGTGACCTATAAATTTTTTAATCTGTAATCAACGAAATAAATTGTGACCTATAAAAATTTTTATTTGTGATATCGAAATAATCTGTGACCAATAAAAGTTGTGACCAATAATTATGTATCTGTGACCATTAATTATATATTATTATATTTAATTAATAAAAATATATTTAATTTATAAATAAATACCCGATTTTTGCATTTGTGAAATTTAAAGCCTGATTTATGATTTTTTCCCAATTAAAATTATAATTCATTTTCCTCTTACTTCTCATCAATCAAACATTTTTCAATAAAATAATATTACACGTAAATCAAAACAATTTCTTCTTTAATAATCACACATTCTTCGAAAAAAATACTATTCTAAAAATTATAATCTCAAATAATGAGGTCAAACATGGCTTAATTTTATCTGACTCGACCTAATCATTGACTTGGCAAAAGTACATGGTCACTGGATCCACGGTTCAACGAGTAAGTCAATAGTTTAATTCGTGGATCATTGTCATTTTGAAAATTATTAAAGCGTGATTTTAATATCCTATTTTCTTAAATTTTTGTATGGAATAGAATAGACACAGGTCGATTCAATGTGTAACATTCCAGAATCGAATATTCTTTCCACACTTCTATTTCAAGCCCAAACAAACTGGTTCTGGTGAGTAAAAATTGGGTAGAAAACGATCCATTTAACCAAAATTCTAATGGGTTCATCTATTCTTTCATTTGGGTATTCCGTCGAACTTCAATTATCTAAGGCAAATGCAATGAAAGAATAGAAAGTTTCCGAATTATAAATAGATAGAAATGAGTGGTGAATACGTGAATAGTACTTGCAAATCTCTTTAAGTGTATGGAAAAATAATTTGAGCGTTCATAAACAATTCACAAACATGAGCCAAACGTCGATAGTGTTGAAGAGGGTCCGAAAACCTCGGCTCCAATTACGCGAGTTTTCCTCATCTCTTATCAATGAAATCCAAGCAAAAATACAATATGTAGTTCGAAAATTAATTGTCCCGACATTCAAATGAGCAACCTTTCTCAGAAACCATAGAATTTATAAATTAAGTTGAAGCAAAAAGTATAATTTAGACCTTACTTTCCACGACATAAAAACCAACTGCCAAAGCACAGCATTGGGCTGGTGCTAACACTGGGAGATGCAAGCTAAGGGCGCAAATGTGATTAGATACAGTAATAACCCTGAACAAGTCCTTCCTGCAGAAATCAAAAGGTGCGAAAACAATGAAATGGCAACTTGCCAAACACAAACTCGTGTCACCAATATAAGTAATTCTGATATTTTTCAAGAGGTGGATAATCCCATCCTTGTGCTTGGAGTACAATTTCAAGCAGTAGGATTCATTGTGCCAGAAGAGTTTGTCTTCAAATAGGGAAGGAAACCTCGTGTGTATATACAACACAAGCCGCGCGCACAAAGAACCACCACACTAGACCAACAAGAACATTTAATTCCTAATCTCACGTTTCACAGAATTATCAATTAATTATACATTCACTACTAAAGTTGTGTGTTACACCTGCACAGCTCAACTAATATAAAACCGTGTAGATGAGGAATGGAAAAAGAGTCAGGTAAGAGATGTTTACCCCGTCTGCAATAGAGCTTCACGAAAGTGCAACACAGTATCTACATGAAATCTCAATCGTATACTCATTAACTCGCAAATAATCAACAATCACAAGCAAGAATTTCCTTCCGTGAGCAGTTACCAAAGATATTGTAATCCAATATTGCACCGGAGCATCTGAATGAACCAAAAGAGGACAACCAAATTGGTCTTAATGAAATTTTGAAGATGACGAAATAATTGTTTGTTACCTCGAGGTTCCGAAATACATACATTCTCCATGAATAGCAGTATGATCCATTCAATTTTGATGCATTGAACAAACAATAAACCAAAATGCAAACAGATAAGTCACAACAATGAATTGATACCTACCTCAACCTTTTCTCCTGTAATTATATTGATGATAGGGCGATGTTTAAGTCTAAATAGAGCTGTGAGAACAAAAAACAATTTCACTCGTAATGACGACATGGCTTAAGACTTCAAAACACACATACATAAAACTTGGGTGAGTATAAAAATGTCTACCTCTTCAGAAATCAAAGTCCAGGCATAATCTACATAATCCCTATTTTGAGCGAACTGGACTCCTAGATGACCTCCTTTGACCATGCCTGAGGGGAGACCGTGACCTACTTCTATCACGGTATCTATCCCTACTTCCTTCTCTTCCGTCCCTCGCATTGCTATACTTTAAATCTGATCCTCTTACCCTTTCTCGGCTTCCTCTGCCATTCCTTTCATGAGACCTCTCCCGGTCATGGTCGCGTTCTCGATATCGGTCCCTCTCCCTGTCAAAATCCCTATGGCGGTACCTGTACCTGTCAGGAGAGTTACTTCTTCCATGTCTCCTCTCATGTTCCCTTTCCTTGAGCTTCCTCTGCTCTGCAGCTTCTCTTTCCTGAGCTAATCTTTCTTCTTCCTTTGCCTTCTCCTTAGCTGTCTGATAATGGTATTCAATTCACAAGTCACATACAATATAATAACAACAGTCACAATATTATGATATTTTGCAACAATAATCACAATACAAATGGAACCTTTTGCATAATAATCCTATACCCAAATAAATTATCCATCAGCATAATAATTACCTTGTATTCCGTGAGAAAGTCCCGGACCATGCCATAACCCATATGTTGCTTGCCGGTAACATGAGACTGAGTTCTCTCAGCAGCATCATTTGCTATTAGAAAAGAACCGCATATTTCACATAAAGCCATTTTTTTCTCCTGTGCAATCATTGTTAATTTATCCTGCTGTGGTGGTTGTGTCAAGGCTGTCTTCTCAGCGTTTAGCAATTCCACCTGAAAAGCGTATCAATGTTATCGAAGCACATTTATAAACTCAGAATTTTAGGATACATTTAATAAGGGTACATCATTTTCTAAACATAGAGCATCACCTTTCTCATGAGTGCCTCAGCTTCATCAACCTTCCCCGCTTCACCAAGAGACTCAACTTGTTCCAGCAGGCTCTTTATCTTTTCTTCCAGAACAGACATCTGCTCAGTTTTTTCAGCTGACATCGGTGGGGGAGAGGGAACTTCAACCTCTTGAGCAAGACGCTCCCGGCCACGCCTAACTTTTCTATCCAAATCTGAAACCTGAAATAGAAGAACAAGTATGATCAAACATAGAAATCAAGGAGTATATGTACTCTGTTCAGGAAAGACCTATGATTAGATTAGGTGCCTTTGAAAGTAAAATTGAGTAGTCAAGATGACAAGATCAAATGTGGTAGAAGATGAAAATTCCCTAACATTATATGCTTGCTTCCTCAACAGTTCATCTAGAGCCTTTATCTTTCCATGAAAATTCCCTAACATTATAAGCTTGCTTCCTTTGAGATTACATTTGAAAGAGCTTGGCTTTACAAAATTTGTTTGCATATCTATTTTTAAGGTGATGGTGCAATTGCAAAATGACTCCATGAACTAGAAAGAAACATTTAACGTTAACAGCATTAAAATCACAAGCACAAACCCATATTTTGTACTTTAAGCACCTTACAAGCATACCCTTCATGCTACATTCATATTATATACTGATAAAATATTTACTCTCTCCTTTAGCCCAAGGCCATTAACCGTCTGAGCAACCACTACTTTAAGCACCTTACAAGCAAAACCATTTTGTACCACAATTACAACATATAATTTGATTGACAAAGTCTTCAAAAATCTCAATCCATCTTCTTCAGATTTTTCTTCAGTTTTCTTCAATTTTTCTTGCCTTTGCTGCTGAATGCTTGAGCTAACCAGATTTGCCTTTCATCAGCTTCATTTCCAGCCTCATTTTTGCACCAGACTTTTCTGTTTTTTTTAGCTTCAGCATCAGATTTTTTTAGCAAACTGGTTCACTTCTTTTCTCAGGCATTCTTCATCAACTTCTTCACTGAATATCAACCTCCCTTTAATTTTTTGAAAAAATGATCAGCCATTTAACACAATCAAAGAGTATATGTACTCGAGGATTTGGACTTCAGAATTCTTAAAGACGAATACATACCAACTTCTCACAGAAGTAAGCTAGCTCTGCTTCAAACTTGGAAACATATGAATCGTGCCTGGGAGACTTCTCAAAACTAAAGAGATACACGGCTTAATCTTATTACAACTGTGAGGTTAGCTCATATATATATATGACAGCAAAGCAAAGTAGACGACAAAAGCATCTCAGAGACTAGCAGAAAATTCATTATGGAGAATGGTTCTTGTGCCAATGTTTTTAGGTGGGATGCAAGCTAATACTAGAAAAAGTGTCAAAAAAATGACCATTATATTGTTGAATATCCTAGATAAGTGTTTGAAACTGGGGATGGGGGGTTATTACTGAAAATTATTCGAACATACTTATAATTATTAAAATAAAAGAGAGGACACAAAAAGAGTCCCATAAAACTAGTCATTGTAACGTGAGAATTAAGAGTTCAAATAATTTAGCAACAGGGTAGTAGTAATAATTTTTGCCAGAGACATGGTAGAACATGCATAATACATAATATCTTAATTTTACAGAAGCCCGATAGATGCATGATTCCTATATGGAGACCCGAAGCATCTATCCTTAATAATAGACTGATTAATAGTCTATATTTCATAACAAAGGTTCATTATCTTAACTACATAAAATGACCCTCAATCGGGATAGAAATACACTCTGTGATAGCTCAAATCAGAAGTGATGGCTACTCAACATAGTAGGACAAGAATCTGCCATCAAATCTTAACGTTAAAATCAAATTCTTGCACGCGTTCAACATTTTTGAGAGGAAAAGCGCACAGCTCATTGACGAATCATGAATGAGAAATACAAATAAAACAGCATACGCCTCCCAACGGTTAGTGTTCACCAGAATGTCAGAAAAAAAATAAAAATAAATGAAAGTAAAAACAGATTCCAAGAGGTGTATCTTTCCTAGATGTTCCAATAGTTTCCAAGTTGTAGATTTGCGGAGCGAAGAATAAATTCTAGTAGAACATGCCTTCATAATATTTTCTATGTTATGAGACCAAAATAAAACTCGATTCTATTATTGAAGATCAAAGGCATTCCCAAGGGGACAACCACATTGAATCTCTAATTGATTAGTTTGCGTTTAATGCAAAACGATCAAAGAGGACGGAATGCTAATCTCTATTTAATGAATAGCTTTATCTCCATGGAAAGTTAATTGGAAGCCAATTCGTAAGCTCACAATCATACATGATAAAGACCACACCAAGCTAAAAAAGATTTTGAAAATAGAAGCATAAACAAGGAGGCTGAATTGACATTTCAAGACATTTATAATATAACCGTCGATAAAATTATTATTATAAATTACCTTTCCTTCAACTTCGGATCGTGAATTTTTGGGCATACTCCTGATTCAAAATGAATGCAACAAAGATAACTCATAAGCAAAAATATAGGTGTACAGGAATGAACATATTGGCATGTTGAAAAGACAAGGTGAATACTTCATTCGTTTAAAATAAGTAAATATAAAAAGAGATTACATTGTTCAGGGGATCAGCTATGTTAATTTTCTTTTATATTTTGCCAAGCCCTTAAAGCATCAGCACATTCTTATAAATGGAAAGATATATTTTAAAGTGAACTTTCTGACTAGTTTAACATCAAATGTTAGAAGTGTTGTGAAGATTAGTGAATGAAGAGATTACCTAGATCACTTCGAGTGTTGACAAACAAATCATGGGGACAGAATCGAACCATATAGCATCCACAAACTTCCTTATCGTCCCATCTAATTTCTTTGTACCCCTTCCTCTCTTCTTCAGTTAAATTTCGTGCTGCCACAACAAGAAAAGAAATTTTATGAAGCATCAAATTCAAAAATTACAAAAATTAGTAAGATTCAATGAGAAATTGGTTTTTGAAAATTTACACTTATATAAGTGCGTGTATTGAATTTTTTAAAAAAAATCTCATTTCGGATAGTAAATCGCATAGCTAAAAAATTTAAATTTTGGAAATCCAAAATCAGAAATTTGGGGAATAATATTAAACATTCACTTCCCAGTAACCATTCCAGTGCTTAACTTTAAGCAGCCATGCACAATTCTTGTGTTTTCAATAGTTGATTGGGCTATGGGAAGTGCAAATTACATAATTGAAATGGAAATTGAAAGATCGAAATTTCGAAATTAGGGTTTAATTGCTGCTCACCTGCACCCATGAGTTCATCAAGCAAAGCCCTTTGAGCATCCATTGATAATTGATTAAAGATGATGAATGATGAACCCTAAAGATTTTCAGTAATTGCAATAATCAATAAATAATTGCAACGAGAAAAACCTTAAAAATTAATGGGGATGGATCGATTGTGAAGAGAGAGAGTTAAGGGTAATTTACGCAAGGAGTAAATGCTGTAATTTCAAGCAATTCTCTTCCTTATAAAGCGAGTGTGAGTGTGTACAAATACTAATTAACGTATTTCTTAATATTCTTAACATAAATTAATATATTTCTTAATACTCTTAACACTAATTAAAAAAATTAATTTTTTCTAAGTTAATAATATTAATTTTAAATTAAAATACGAAAAAAAAGCCCCAAGGCCTTGTGATTGAATATCAACATGTCAAAACTGCCGAGGACAAATGTATATTGTCCAACCAAGTATAATATTTTGTTCTATCCAAGAAACCAATTTTTGTGGCTGTCCTACAATTTTTTACTCAGCACACACTCTTTCTGCAATCCTAGTCGAGTTCCTTCCCATTTTAATCAAATAATCACTTTTTTTTCCATACACAACTCTCAACCATGAATAACACAGTAGACAAGTTGGTAATCTTTCTAGCAAAGAGGGATGACATTGACAAGCTCGTCAAGACTTTTTAATAAGTATCAAAACTTGTTCATTGGCGTGTCGAAAAAACACATCTTGATGGATCCACCAGGGCTTAGCAATGGAAAGTGGCAGCTGGCCTAAGCCGGACGGTTTCCTACCGACTTTAACATGCTAAGGTGGAATCTGGGTCCCACCACGACTTTTCGGTTGCTTTATGTGCTTGAAAACACAGGCGAGATGATCCACTTCATTCTTTGACCACTTTCTTTGGTTGTCAAGAATTGGGGTGGTCGAATATGGTGGGAACAATTAGTACATAACTCGCTTCCAGAAACAGGGTGGGGGATTCGAATCCTGGTGGGAACCTACGGCCATACTTATTTGATATGAAGAAATCACTTTGGAGGATGATCATTTGTGTGCAGAAGTGCACAGTTGGTGATGGGAACTTGAGAACCAATTGAGGCATATCCTACGATTTACCTCTTCCAAGATTCTAGGGGCAAAGGTCTTGGAAGTCCAAGATTTAGTCTGACAAAACTGGCATACCTGAATATTAAAAAAATAAAAGAAGAAGAGAGAATTGAAGTGTTGGATACAAAGTTGGCTACGAGAATGAGTTTCAAATCAGCATTTGGCTAAATATTTTTCATCATATCCGATTTTATACTCATTGGAGAGGGGATTAAGACAGAAGTGAAGATTATTATCAATTGGAAGAATCAAAGGATTCAAAGGAAAAAAAAAAGAAAATTTGGGTTGATGCTGTTACACTTGGAATTAGTGGATTGGTTTCTGCATGGGCTGGTTGGTATAGAAATTGGCCTTAATACGTTACCCGTATTCTTGTGTACAATGATGAAAATGTTACTTATATGAAACAAATCTGAAAATTTTTTTTACTTCAATTTTGAAAAGTGCTTCTATAATTCATCAATAAAATTATACACGTTTGGTAGGAGATGGAAGTCCAAATCTTGTTAATTATACTATTGAATTCAGTCCAATTCAATACTACATATCAAATATGTACTAATCGTTCACATTAGTGTTCGGTTGGTCACTAATAACTCATTCTCATTGGTCTAATTGTGGTTCTCATTGGAAGACATTCACCCTTCTTTTCTATCAATATTAAACATAAAAATAAATAAATAATTATCTTCTCCCGTGACACTCCATCACATCCCTTTTACAATTTCCAAACACCAAAATCGGTAACATTGAAAAAGGAAATAACGAAAGCATAAACATGTTTGCCAATACTCAAACATTATTCCAAGTGTAAATTTTTTGAAAAGTATATACCTTATGGAAAAGTAAATCTAGTTTAGAAAATAAGTCACTTATCAACACGTTGAACTGAAAATTTTTTCATCCTTGTCGAGAGAATGGGCTGGAGTGGGCTAAATAAAAAACGACCAAATCTTGTGTCGATAATTTGTTGATAAATTAAGAATGAAACGGTTACACACAATGAATTTCTTATGTTACAAGATGCTGTAAATGCATAACAATTTTATTAACCGATTGAAAAACAAAAAATATAATTGTATTTTGTTTTGAAATAAGTTAAAAAGTAGACTCCATTTTTTGCTTAATTAGGGTACACGATCGTGATTACTGAACGTGACTCGGTCGGACGAGTGCAAATCTTCAAGGCCGACTTTCATCGTGCTCCCAATATTGTTATTTTTGTAGATATTATTTCTTGTAAAGTGTGGTTCTTATTCTTTTACTCTTTGAAGAGAAAATAAGCAATCTCTACTTAGAGCGAGTTAATGTGTGATTAAAATTAATTGTTGACTTTGACTTGAAATTTTAATTGCATTTTAATCCAAACCAAACATGGCCTTAAAATGAAGAAACAAAAATGCAGGGACTGATTAAATATATCTAAAATGAGGAATATTTTTTGGGAGGTAACTCAACTTACAGTTTGTTTCATGTTGGTCATGCAACTTTAATTTATTTCAATTTAATATCCTTGCTTATACGTGTACATAAATTTAATCATTCTATCCATAATCGTAGCAAAAATTAATGGCGATTCCCATGAAGCTAATGAAATCAATGACCGATAAGGTTAGCAATTAATTTGTCCAAAAAAATGAAAGGAGATCTCATGGAAGAAAATTTAGAATTCTTAATTGACTCACGGTTAGCTTGGTCAAGATTATATACAATAATATTAATTTTGAAATAAAAATGTAAGTTAGGTGATAAAAAATAAACAAATTAAAGTTAAACAACTAGCAACAAAAATTTAAAAAGTTGTCTCTCGAAATTGGGCTTACCTTCTTTGAAATTTACCGGCGAATTGGGTTTACCTTCTTTAATATTTACCCCAAAATTAAGAAACTCGAATTGATCTGGAAAGTCGTCTTATTTAAAATGGAAAAAACCACCCCAGAGGCCAGACAAATCTAAAACTTCGGCATGAAAATTGAAAATTCATCCTAAGCCTAAGTCTTCGGCATTTACAATTTTATATTTATATATATCAAAATACAATTGCATTTATCATCGTTTACTCCAACCTGTTAACTTGTTGTATCATCCGATCCCAAATCAAGCTTCGGTGAGTGTTTGTGTTCGTGTCTATTATTTTTCTGTCAATTTTTGTTTTGGTTGTGTTGAATTTTGCTGTAAAATTTTTGGTTTTCAGATCTATCGAGAATGGCGGATGAAAGGATTCATCCGTCGAGTTATGTGAAATTGACAAAAGAACAAACGCCTCTCGAGGAGATTCAACCCGGCGAGCTCAATCAACCCATTGATGTCCCTCAAGTATGGTTTTTGTTTCTCTGTATTTGTATTTTTGTAAATGGGCTTTTATTGTTTTTTATTTATTTATTTGATCTCTTTGTATATTGATCTTTACGATGTGTGTGGTGATTGAGTTTGACAAATACTTTACTGAAAGATCTAATCTTTACTGAATTTGAACTCTTAACTGTGTATGCCTATGTGTACTTGTGTGCCTGCTAGGGCTTGGATTTCGATTATATAGAGAGTTTGACTTCATGTCTAATTACATTATTGGGTGATTTGCTCGGGTTTATGACAGAATAGGTTTCTCTTTCGATTTGAGTTTATATTTAAGTTTCCTAAGTTTGGCATACGCATTTTCAGGTTATATGGTTTTGTGTTGTGGGTTTGGACCATGTTATCGTCGTGTGTTCGATACCTTTAGAAGAATGTCTTTTTTCTTGATTACTAAGCATACTGAATTTTTTTTTTAGGCTAATTTCTGACACTAAATGAATTGTCAAATACTGGTCTTTCTAGTGTCTGATGCTCATCATTGTCAACAAATAGTTAGATCCTTGTTTTGCTCTACTCTTGTTCTTTTTTAATTTGAACTTTTCTTCTCTAATTAGGAAGAGCTTGTTGCATCAACAACTCAATTTTCCTCCTAAAACAAAGTATAAAGCCATCCGAAGTTCATGTTCTCTTATTTACACACTTATACCTTCCTTTCTTGTGGATTCAATTCCAATACTTGTAAGACTTGGGAGTGGAGAATTTGACTGAAGTTCCATAATGTGGGAATGAACAGACTTTATAGCACAATACGTTGGTGAAAGCACTCAGGAGAAAGGAATTAATTTTTCAATCTTGCTCTGTTGCAAAATGCTAATTTTTTGAATTGTCAACAGCTTAGCATCCCACAAGTTTTAGATTTTATACTTGATAGTTTAATCTGTCTTATTGGAACTGTGAAAGGAAGACCAAATCTTGTAGGTCTTCTAGTAGATCTACAACATACAAGTGGCAAGCCCTCACTATCCTTTGACCTTTGTCTCTCTGTCTACACACTTGTAGTGGTCCGTGGAGGAAAATTATTTGCCTAACCCCTTTTCAAATCTTAAACAGCAGTTGGATGGTGTAACATGGAAATAAAATATAGGATTTGTTCGAGAAAAAAATGAGGATTTTACCGAACTATTAAGAATCTGAATAACCTGAACACCAAAAAAATAAAGTTTAAAAAAGATATATGGATGTTATAAGATATCTAGAACATGCTAACCGATCGATATTTCAAGTAGTGCTTGGATGGGCTTGCTGGTTATAGAATTTTCGCTGAAACCACAAATAGAAGCATTCACAAGTTTGAGCAGTTCAATTTTTGTGATTCTCCGTTTTAATAAAAGATTTAATATTGACAGAATTGGCTTTTGAAATATATTTGTGCATATCAAGATTTTACCACGGGTCAAATTCAGCACCTGTTCATTAATTTTTTAGTTGTGTGCTTCATTCTACAGTTGCATGTCCACAAGTGCAATGAATGTGGACAGCCTTTACCAGAAAGTTATCAAGCTCCTGCAGATGAACCTTGGACTACTGGGATCTTTGGATGTACTGAGGATACAGAAAGTTGTGAGTTCCATCTCTGTCCCACTTAAGACCTAGTGAAGTATCTGATGTTTCATGTGAAGATGTGGATAATAAATCGATTGCATTGTTTGTTAACTGATTTTGGAAGTTTTCTTGTTACTCTTTTCCGATTTGATTATCCATAATGTGAATATGTCTTGTATATTCATAAAATTGAGAAGTTAAATTAATTTTTGGCTTAGATGCAATTGTATGTTATGCTGATGTTACTAACTGATTGGTTATGCTATTATTAAACTAACCACAGTCAATTCTTTTAAAACTTGATAAAATATAATTTAATCCCCATTTTATGCATTTGCATGTATCAAGAGTTTCATTTAACTATCATAAAGGGTATGCGTACCATTTATTGGCACACGAGCACATTAATTTTAAGATGTGTAGGGGATGCTGGCAGATATACGCAATTGAATATTTTTACATTGCTTAATGCTTTACCCTATTACGCGGTTGAAGGCAGTGATTTGGTTCATATTTGTATATTTCTCTGTTTTTGTTATAATTTCTTGTTTTGTTTTCTCCAATTTCTGCAGCTAGTACAAATACCTGACATATTTCAATGCTTGATAGTCCCCAAATTTAATATTTTTTTCTCCACTGTAGGTTGGACTGGTCTTTTTTGCCCATGCGTCTTGTTTGGACGCAATGTTGAACAGCTGAGAGAAGATACCCCATGGACTGGGCCATGCATTTGTCACGCCATTTTTGTGGAGGGTGGCCTTGCGTTTGTTGCAGTGACGGCAGCAGTACATGGTATTATTGAACCAAAGACAACATTCCTCATCTACGAGGGCCTGTTGTTTGGTTGGTGGATGTGTGGAATATACACTGGTCTTATGAGGCAGTCACTGCAGAAGAAATATCATCTCAAGGTGATCTCAATACCTTCTCGTGTATTTATGATGTCAATAATTAGTGTTGAGTATTGAAGTCCCCAATTTATCGTCCAGTTAAACTGATTTTATATTTTAGTGAACTGCAATAACATTTTAGTTATTTTGTTAGTTTAATTTAGCAGTCCCTTCAATGGGGTTGTCTTGTCACGTGCATTGGAATCTTAACAGTCTTCATGAAGCGTTTCTTCTGAATAGTTGGTCTGTTGTCAAGCATATGCTCCATCTTATTATCTCAAAACCTCGATTACTTTATTTGTTTTTGTAAGGAAGGATTCACTCTCTCTCTCTCTCTCCTTTTTTTCAGTGTAGTTTTATTTTTAACATAAAAAGGATAATCTGGTATTCTCCTTAAGTTAGAATTCATTTCTTGTCTGATTGGCTTAAGTTATTAAGGGAAAAAAATTAAGGGAAGCGAAGTTGGTGAAAAGGAAGAAAAATCTCAGTTTGCAGTAGGAATATAAAGGGTTGTTTTTGTCAATACTGGCGAATTCATTGGTTTTCATTTCTTTATGCTTGCAGAACTCGCCGTGTGATCCCTGCATGGTGCACTGCTGCATGCACTGGTGTGCCTTGTGCCAAGAGCACCGCGAGATGAAGGGGCGCCTATCAGATGATGCTGTCATGCCAATGACAGTAGTCAATCCTCCTCCTATCCAAGAGATGAATGCTGCTGGTGACAGTCAGGATTCAGCACCATCCTCTGCTAATGGCAATGATCACACCTACTTAGAGATGCAACCTTTATAGAAATTGGGATTGTGAAAAATTATAGACGAACAGGAGACTCATGATCAAAATGAGTAATGGCTTTCACTCCCTTTGTCAAAGTTGAAATTTTTTACTGTACTTGTTAATACTCATGGATGTGGACATTAGAGTTTTTGAATGCTTACTGTTTGCTTCGGCACATGCATTTTTTAACTACGCTCGTAATGCGATGCTCGCATAGAAGAGGGGGTGGGGGGTGGGGGTGGGGGGGTGGTGCAATGCTGTGTTTATGTAAAGATTTTCTTGTTTCTATAGGTAGTTGGAGAATTATTTCTTATAAACAGTTGAAGACTTGGTCGTGGCTTGAAATTTTTACGTAACTATTGTTGGATAAATTGTTGCATGAAATATATTCGGTTAATAAAAAATATGTACATATAATTTATTGGTGCAAAATATCGGATAAAATTTTGACTTATCGAAATTAAGATACGTGCATAAAAAATATGCAGAACATTGACTTACTGATGTTTAGAGAAAATGATGAAAAATATGAAGGAGATGAAATGAAGCAATGTGTAATGATTATAAATATGTTTAAAATAGATTTTGCTCCTGCACTTGTGCTAATAGGATTTGACGGATGTCCGTTTTTTCAAGATAAAACATTTCTTTCAAAATTAACATATCACAACATTAATTTTGTTGGGCAAACCAACTTTTGACTGTATTATTTTAAAACAAAAGATATCGAATACAAAACTCAAAATAATTTAAAATATTTAGATATAATAATTTGGATAAAGAAAGAATTAGAGTGAAAAAAAAAATGGAATTAAGAGTCTAATTTATAGATTTTAATGTGTCTTTTTCTAATGGTCACATCTTGTTACACAAATTAATTTCAGCCATTCGATCACGTCATTTCGTAATTAATGATTTGGATCACACTCAATCAAAATGTCATGATCCTTTATCGTGAACTTTGCGAACTTGAGAGTCGCACCCAATTGACACACCATTGAAAACTTTTCTTATTCACAAATTTTAATTGTTAACTAACCTATAAAAATTCCAACTACTATTGCTGAAAATCTATGTACATGTGCATATATGCTTTTTCTTAGTTTATATTTGGGTTAATTTCACATACGGTCACTGAGCTTACGTAAAAATAACAAAACGGTCACTGAAGTTCAAAACTTACAGAAACGATCACTGAAATTTCATGCCCTTTCACAAACGGTCACTGGAGGACCATTATGCCTTTAATTCAAATATAAAGGACCAAAGTGAGCACATCCGAATTTTGGACAGTTTGGAGGTGCCAACTTTGGACCACCATAACTCCGTCCTCCAGCCACCTTTTTCCACGGACCAATA